CACCCGCCGGCTCCCTGCGGGGGGAGGAGGGCCGCCGCACACACGGGCTGTGACCCGCGCTCAGGGACAGGGATGGGGGTGACCAGGCCGCAGCTCTGCACCTTGGCGCGTTTTATTGGCAGAGGAGTAAACAGTACCAGACACGAGCTCGCCACCGCCTAACGACCGAGTCTGCCGTTACGAGAGCAGATCTGCTGCTTCTGTGGGACCCAACACACCACTTGCCCTCAGCGGCCACCTTCGTACAGGCATTGCACACACTCGGCGCTCTGCTTTCCGAGGCAAAGACTGAAACGTAAAGCTGATCCAACACTCTCCAGTGCTTCAGGAAGCCATTTCTGTCCGAGTCAGCCCATCACATCTGTACACTTGTACCAGAGCCTTCGGGAGATTCCCGACAGCACTGTTAGGAGATGAAGTGAGTCTGTGGGGTGATTTGTTCCAACTTGTGATCAGCTGGGTTTGCTGATGCTTCGTAATTGCAGATAGTGACTTCATGGCGATGAGCCTGAATTAAGATTAAAGGTGTTAGTGCAGAGCAGAATTCAAGTCCCTCCTAAAACACCCGACTGGCAAGAGCTGAGCAGGTTCCCATCTTACAGACTTTTCATCGCAGACCCTCCCACACTACTCCCACTTCATCCTTACTGCTAGAGCTCAACTTAAGCTATGATTTAAAGCCCTTTTTACACTATTAGCACAGTCTCAGTCATCTCTGCTCTCACCTACCTCTGTCCACTCTCCTTTCAGGCCTATATAAAAAATCTTCGTTGTCTCCGCTCCAAAGTTCTTTGGAAAGTGGATGGAGAGGTGGTAAACATTGGAGAAACGGGCAATTCTGAAAGAAAACACACTCTGAAACCAGAGCTGTGTGTACAAGCTGCCACTCCACTGTGTTGCCGCCTCCTCTTGGCCCCACACCATGTGTAGCTCCTACCCTAATCTGAGTCAGACTTGGGAGCAAACAACTGAGGGTGCAGGAGGAGCTGCTTCTCTCACGCTAGCCAGCAACAAGCTGTGACTGGGGACAGGAGCAGGGGGCACGACACTGGGATGATTCTGCACCCCAAAAAGTGCTGGATCACAGACACAGGCACCCCCTTGGCTCCAGGGAGGATGTCTGCAGAGCTTTCAGGAGGAGCTGGGGAGGCAAATTCTACTGTGGGCAGCTTTGAGAAGCAATGGAAGGAACTGCCCTCTGCTAACGCTTTCCTAAAACTCGGTGGCACATCAGCAGGCTGGACAGAGCGTAGCCTCCAAGCTCGGGAGGAGCAGCCCCCCCATGACCCCTGGGTGCGGGGGTCCCCGTCATACTTGGTGGGGTACTCCAGCTCGCCCGCTGGATCCCGGTTCAGGCTGAACATCTGGTCCGGTTCCCTGGCTGCGTCATCGAAGGACATGTGAGGAATGTTCCTGAACCTGGGAAGAGAGGGAGGAAACCCAGGAAGTTGTTATCATACACGTCAGCTTATTGGTTTCCTCCCCGTGCATTAGCACTACCCAGATTCTTCTCAACAATAACAAACTGGATTTGTTTTGTCTTCTAAGGGGGAAAATACCAATGCCACCACAAAGCATCATCATGTTCCAGAAAACCCAACACTCTAAAGAAATAACAAGGAAAAGCTATAAACAAAGCTCAGGGATACAGATCTCAGCCCACTTGTGTATGGGAAGAAACTGAGACCCCAGTGCACTGGAGACCAAAGAAAATAGGGGCTTGATAAAGCGTATTTCTTTCCCCACAAGCAAAAATTGCAGAGTACTCAATACTCTTACATTAAAAAAAAAAACAAAAAAAAAAAAAAAAGCATGTAAAAAGATTTTTTAGGCACTCTCCCTCTC